TATTAAAGCATGAGGAAAGGACCTGGGAACACCAGACGACCCCACGGATTGGTCCGAAATTTGGACATGATCACTTGACCATTTGTGTCACCCACCTGGAACAAGCTTATAAGATGTTGTTCAGATGGTACTTAACCCCCCATTGCCACCATGAAATAGCGTCCAACCTATGTTGGAAACAGTGCACTGGGATGGGTACCTTCATCCACTGCTGATGGACCTGCCCTAAAACCGCTCTGGTCTGGAAGATGGTAAGGGTCCCTACTCTCTAGTCTCCTTACCAGATCTTTTCCATGGGCCCTCTTGCTGTCAAAACCAATAGAACCATTTACAAGAAATTAAAATAAACTTGCAGCACGGATAGCCTTAGCAACACGTAGGGCCATCGCGGAAGGATGGGCCACCCCTAACATACTCAAAATAACAGCACATGGAGAGACAAAAATAGTATAAGAACAGCCAGGTGTAAACCATATAAACACTCCCTCAAGTGCTTTAAATATTCAAATGTATATAGAATATAGAATGCACACTATAACAATCTCAAAAAAACTTAGCTTTATTATGTACAAAAAAGTACCAGAGTGAAAACATATAAGAAAAGATAAACAAAGTGACAGAAGCAAGGGCAAACACAATAAAACAATAATAAATTACCACAAAAATTCTTACAAGCCTCAAGACAGAAACACGAGTCACCAAACCCCCCCAACGTTTCGGCACCAACTGGCTGCCTTTATCAAGGGTACCTGTATCCATGTTCAAATGTGTCTGCTTATAAAGCCCTCTTACAGCTGATGGCCATCAGATACAAAATTGTCACCAGCTCAGGAAGTGACATCACCACCTCATGTCCTGGCACAATATTTTAATAGTAACATTTTAATATCAAATCAAAACTGATTGGGTGCACTGAAAACATATATGGAATAAAAAGAGTCATGGGACCTAAAATAATAATAACAGATGTTAATATTCTAATAACCAACCTCTATAGACATTAAGTGTACTCCCACTTTATCCGGTGTCCATAACCGCCTTACTTATTGGCAGAACACACACACCTGTATAAATATGCTCCACAGGCATCACAGCCACTGCTGCGTGCATGCGTTCTATAATGAGTGCAGCGCATAGTAACATCCTGCTCGCGCATTCGCATTACAGCATACTGCCGCGCATGCGCATAGCAACATCCTATTTGCGCAGGCGTACTATGTGTGCCGTGCATGCGCGTAATAACATCCCGCTCGCGCAAGCGCATAACGGCAAACTGCCGTGCATGCGCACAACTAACATACTCACACCCCAACAAATAAAAATAGAAAATTAATGACAGCATAGAAATGGACAGATTAACTGCCCAGGTTTAAGAATCCCCTTTACAAGATCTGGGACCTCTGGCAGATGGAGACACCTCCCTTCCCTGGTAACTACCTGAATCTTAAATACCGACTAATCTAAACACAATTTTATCCACTCTCTAAGAGCTCCGAACCTCACCTAATCCCCACCTCCCTCATCCCACCCTTCCCAGCGTCCTGGCTGCCCTATCCCCCTCTGTCCCCTCCTTCCTTTGTTCCCTTGTTCTCATTCAATTACCCAGTTCTACACTCCTGGTCTGATCAGGACCACCATAATCTCGTGATTTCAGTACCATATGAGGACATGGCCCACTACACCATGCACTGATTTCCTCCTCTAAGTTCATGACCTTGCAACTGTAAGAGGACAACACTGACTCACACAAGGTCCTAATATAAATGGATATGCAGTTTACGGCCAAGATCAGACCCTGTGCCCACTGAAAGAGCCTTGGCTAATAAACCCAGCACCGGCCCCTTCAGCGGGACTGGAAAGATGTAAGAGACCTGTTACCATCACGCACTTTTTGTTAAGTGTAATTTCCCTGTTTCGTTTTGGTTACTTTAACCCGCTTTCTAATTTCTGTAACAACTGCAATTCTAAAAATAAAGAATTTTAATAAATAAATAAAATACAGGTTGATATCTGGGATAAAACTCACATTTACCAGAGCCTTATTAACCTTGGTTCTGGGTTTGGAGAGTCCAACTTGAGAGGGATAACTCCCAGACCAGGAAAGATATCACCAAGTTACAAATTCAGCCAGCCATAAAAAAGTCCTTCTATATGTATAGGAGACAAACAGAGAGGCCAGGAACCCATATTGCATAGTATTCAAATTCTTTATTATACAATAAAAAACAACTAAAAACCTTTTACTTTGCTATTTCTCTAGTTGGACTCTCCAAACCCAGAGCCAGGGTTGATAATCTCTGATAAATGTGAGTTTTATCCAGATATCCCCTTTTTAAAATATTTATATTCATTTACATCAGAAGGTCTGCAGTGCCAGTATTTGTATTTATGGGGGGGGACCTATTGTCCTCCCACCGGCCCCCACCCCTGAGCGGCGGGTGGGGGCCCTAAATTCTAATAAGGGGGGGGACCTAATGTCCTCCCCCCTAGCCCCCACCCCTGAGCGGTGGGTGGGGGCCCTAAATACTAATAAGGGGGGGACCTAATGTCCTCCCCCCTGGCCCCCACCCCTGAGCAGCGGGTGGGGGCCCTAAATACTAATAAGGGGGGGGGACCTAATGTCCTCCCCCCTGGACCCCACCCCTGAGCGGTTGGTGGGGGCCCTAAATTAGGGGGGGACATATTGTCCTCCCCCTTGGCCCCCACCCCCCTCCCCCAGGTGACTAGGGGTCCCCAAACCCCTAGTCACCCCCCTCCCAAAAAAAAACTAACGCCTACCTACCCCCCTCACCCTAAAAATAATGAGGGGGGGACCATTAACTAAGTACCTGTAAAAAGAAAATAATAAAACTTACCTTTTTTCAGCCCCCAAAAAAGGCCAAATAAAAAATCCATAATAACCGACGCATTTTAAAAAAAAAAGAAAAAAGAAAATCCTTCTTCACCCATGGAGGGCTCCACGCAAACTGAGCTCTGCAGGGTGGGGGAAGGCTTATAAAGCCATGCCCCACCCTACAATTAGGCTCAGAGCACTCTGATTGGTGGGTTTAAGCCATCCAATCAGAGTGCTCTGACAGGTAAATGAAGAGACTGTCATTTTACACAGCGTGGGAAAGTTCTTTGGAATTTTCCCAAGCTGTGTAATTTGACTCATAACACTCTGATTGGTGGATTAAGTAACCAATCAGAGTGTTATGAGTCAAATTACACAGTGTGGGAAAATTCCAAAGAAGAGTGTAAGTTTTTTTTTTACAGGTACTTAGTTAATGGCCCCCCTCATTATTTTTAGGGTGAGGGGTGTAGGAGGGGTTAGTTTTTACTGGAAGGGGGGTGACTAGGGGTTTGGGGACCCCTAGTCACCTGGGGGAGGGAGGTTAGTTTTTTAGGGCCCCCACCCACCGCTCAGGGGTGGGGGCCAGGGGGGAGGACATTAGGTCCCCCCCTTATTAGTATTTAGGGCCCCCACCCACCACTCAGGGGTGGGGGCCAGGGGGGAGGACATTAGGTCCCCCCATTATTAGTATTTACGGCCCCCACCCACCACTCAGGGGTGGGGGCCTGGGGTAGAACAATAGGTCCCCCCCCACATCATTTTACTTTAGGGCCCCAACCTGCCGCTCAGGGGTGGGGGCCAGGGGGGAGGACAATAGGTCCCCCCTTATTCTGATTTAGGGCCCCACCCACCACTCAGGGGTGGGGGCCTGGGGGGAGGACAATAGGTCCCCCCACACATCATTTTACTATAGGGCCCCAACCCGCCGCTCAGGGTCCCCTCCCTTATTCTTACTTTAGGGTCCCTCCCTTATTCTAATTTAGGGCCCCCACCCACCGTTCAGGGGTGGGGGCCAGGCGGGAGGACATTAGGTCTCCCCCTTATTAGTATTTATGGCCCTCACCCACCGCTCAGGGGTGGGGGCCAGGGGGGAGGACATTAGGTCCCCCCCCCATTATTAGTATTTAGGGCCCCCACCCACCACTCTGGGGTGGGGGCCTGGGGGGAGGACAATAGGTCCCCCCCACATAATTTTACTTTAGGGCCCCAACCCCCAGGGGTGGGGGTCAGGGGGGAGGACAATAGGTCCCCCCCTTATTCTGATTTAGGGCCAAAACCCGCCGCTCAGGAGTGGGGGCCGGGGGGGCAACAGGCTGCTCACTGTTTAATAGTCATGCCCCTACTCGCGGTATAGCGAGTTGGGGCAAAATTTACTAATACAAAGTATTAATACTAAGTATTAATACCGTGGGAATTAGGGAGTTATCTACTAAGCTGCTGCAAGAGAAGTCCCGAAATGCCGGCGTTCTTAAGTGGCCGAAGTCCCGAATTGCTGAATGCCGAACCAAAAATTTTCCCCATGCACATGCCTAACCGACAGAAATGTATACACACTCACTGACAGAAATGCATACACACTCACTGACAGGCATTCACTCAGTGTCAGACACACACACACACACTGAGACACACATATACTAACTGACAGATACTCACTGACAAACACACATACACACTCACTGACAAAAACATATACTCTCAGTGACAGACACACACACTCCCTAATAGACACATACACACTCACTAAAAGACACACACACTAAGACACTCACTAACAGACACACACACGCACTAACACACTCACTAACATACTAATACACACACACTAACATACTCAGTAACAGACACATATACTAACAGACATAAATACACTCATAAACACTCTCACTAACAGACACACACTAACATACTTACACACACTCACTAACAGACACACACTAACCGACACACAGTTCGTTTAATCCACCCAACCTCCCTATCTTTGGGAGTGCTGGAGTGGATTTTTCTCTGAGGTCCAGTGGGACTGGCTGCAGATTGGGGGAAAGGCGAGGGGTTGGGCTGGCAGCAGCGGCGTATACAATCCATGGGGCCCCGGTGCAAACTGATCCGTGTGCCCCCCCCTATCGATCCGTGGGCCCCCCCCCAGACACACACATACAGACAGACACACACATACAGACAGACGCACACATACACCCCCCAACAGACACATACATACATACACAGATAGACGCATACATACAGATACACACATACACCCCCCGACAGACACACAGACACATACATACAGACACACACATACACACACACAGACACACAGAGACACATGCAGACACACACACACACAGACACATACATACAGACACACATACAGAGAGACACACACACAGGCATACACACAGAAACATACACATACATACATACACACACATACATACAGAGACACACATATACAAAAATTTTAAGTCACCCTGCTGTTTCCAACCTTTTGCAGGAGGGTCACTTTCACTGGGGTCCAGTGGGGGCTCAGCCTGTTGGGAGTCAGAGTTTCCACGCGCGGCTTTCTGATAGCTGGGAAGAGTGATGTCCTCACAGGGGGCCCGGTCGCGCTGTTAAAGCGCTGCAGCGCTGCAGCGCTGACCGGGCCCCCTGAAAATACTTATCCATCGGGTGGCCCTAACAACATGGGCCACCCGATGGGCCCCTTCACGTGCGGCCCCAGTGGGCCTCAAACATGGCAGCTGGTACCCGGTCGCAGGGGTCCGCAGGGCGGCCGGGCCCCCTGGAGTAATGGGCCCGGTCGCAGTTGCAACCCCTGCGACTGCGGTATGTATGTCAGTGGCTGGCAGGCACAATGGAAGCAAGCGGCAAGGGAGCTCTGATCTTTCTGCTCAACTCAGTAATGCTGGGGTTGGTGTGACGTCAAATTCCAGCTTTGGCATCACTGTGGAGTGCGCAAGGTACCTGAGCAGGGGAGAGCGCTCCCTGGCACCCTGCCTCCTACATGCCAGTCACGGGGGGTCCCGAGGTGGCCAGCTAGCCAGCTCCTGGGCCCCTAGGACAAGAGGCTGGCAAGGCAAAAAAAGCCACCCCCCTGAAAGTGCCGTCCAAGGCATCACGCTGAATACATTGCTGCTATAGTGTGCAATCTGTGCTCGTCTCTGCAGAGATACAGAAGGACATAATGAAGGAAAGGGGTTTTTACATGCGAAATTCCACTTTATGTTGCTCTGCACCTTAAAGCAAAAATGATAAACATTATCAGAGACAGATTAAATGTTAATATACTTTAACCAGACTCTACGCAATGCTGTAAAACTTCACCACTCTGATCTTGGGATCTGATTGGCCCCTGGCATTGCACGCTAGTCACAGCTATTTTATATCTAACAGTGAACATTGTGATAGAAACAGCAGAACTACATCTGGGTTAGATGGAAATGATATGAAACGATTGATTAATTAATCCCTGTAACAATGACATTTGTTTTTAACCATTGCCAGTCATGAACCGCAGATACAAATGGTTTATTGTCTTTAATTTAATTCAGCTGCTTATCTTCTGGTTTCCACTTCTTATCAATGTCATCAGATCTTATTACTCAAGGAGGACAGTGGGAGATCTTAAACTCTTATTATTCTAGCAATATCTTCAACATAGTTACTGCCTGTAAAATAATTTAATTGGGTATAATAAGGTGGTGCAGTGACAGAGCTGTGTGTGGGGTCAGTACAGGAATAGCAGAGAGAGCTGCAGGGCAGGATGGAGGTGTGACAGAGCTGTGTGGGGGGTCAGTACAGGAATAGCAGAGAAGCTGCAGGGCAGGATGGAGGTGTAGTGACAGAGCTGTGTGTGGGGTCAGTACAGGAATAGCAGAGAGAGCTGCAGGGCAGGATGGAGGTGTAGTGACAGAGCTGTGTGTGGGGTCAGTACAGGAATAGCAGAGAGAGCTGCAGGGCAGGATGGAGGTGTAGTGACAGAGCTGTGTGTGGGGTCAGTACAGGAATAGCAGAGAGAGCTGCAGGGCAGGATGGAGGTGCAGTGACAGAGCTGTGTGTGGGGTCAGAACAGGAATAGCAGAGAGAGCTGCAGGGCAGGATGGAGGGGTAGTGACAGAGCTGTGTGTGGGGTCAGTACAGGAATAGCAGAGAGAGCTGCAGGGCAGGATGGAGGTGTAGTGACAGAGCTGTGTGTGGGGTCAGTACAGGAATAGCAGAGAGAGCTGCAGGGCAGGATGGAGGTGCAGTGACAGAGCTGTGTGTGGGGTCAGTACAGGAATAGCAGAGAGAGCTGCAGGGCAGGATGGAGGTGCAGTGACAGCTGTGTGTGGGGTCAGTACAGGAATAGCAGAGAGAGCTGCAGGGCAGGATGGAGGTGCAGTGACAGAGCTGTGTGTGGGGTCAGTACAGGAATAGCAGAGAGAGCTGCAGGGCAGGATGGAGGTGCAGTGACAGAGCTGTGTGTGGGGTCAGTACAGGAATAGCAGAGAGAGCTGCAGGGCAGGATGGAGGTGTAGTGACAGAGCTGTGTGTGGGGTCAGTACAGGAATAGCAGAGAGAGCTGCAGGGCAGGATGGAGGTGCAGTGACAGAGCTGTGTGTGGGGTCAGTACAGGAATAGCAGAGAGAGCTGCAGGGCAGGATGGAGGTGCAGTGACAGAGCTGTGTGTGGGGTCAGTACAGGAATAGCAGAGAGAGCTGCAGGGCAGGATGGAGGTGTAGTGACAGAGCTGCGTGTGGGGTCAGTATAGGAATAGCAGAGAGAGCTGCAGGGCAGGATGGAGGTGTAGTGACAGAGTTGTGTGTGGATCAGTACGGGAATAGCAGAGAGAGCTGCAGGGCAGGATGGAGGTGCAGTGACAGAGCTGTGTGTGGGGTCAGTACGGGAATAGCAGAGAGAACTGCAGAGCAGGATGGAGGTGCAGTGACAGAGCTGTGTTTGGGGTCAGTACAGGAATAGCAGAGAGAGCTGCAGGGCAGGATGGAGGTGTAGTGACAGAGCTGTGTGTGGATCAGTACAGGAATAGCAGAGAGAGCTGCATGGCAGGATGGAGGTGCAGTGACAGAACTGTGTGGGGGGTCAGTACAGGAATAGCAGAGAAAGCTGCAGGGCAGGATGGAGGTGTAGTGACAGAGCTGTGTGTGGGGTCAGTACAGGAATAGCAGAGAGAGCTGCAGGGAAGTATGGAGGTGTAGTGACAGAGCTGTGTGTGGGGTCAGTACAGGAATAGCAGAGAGAGCTGCAGGGAAGGATGGAGGTGTAGTGACAGAGCTGTGTGTGGGGTCAGTACAGTAAAGGAAAGACAAATAAGTCAATGGGACCTGATGGAATACACCCAAAGTTATTAAAAGTGCATAGTGGTGTACTAGCAAAACCACTAACAGATTTATTTAACCAATCACTGTTAACAGGTGTGGTCCCAGAAAATTGGAAGTTAGCGAATGTTGTGCCCATTCACAAGGTAGTAGGGAGGAGTCGAGCAACTATAGGCCAGTAAGCCTTACTTCAGTAGTGGGGAAAGTGATGGAAACCATGTTAAAGGATCGGATTGTTAAACATCTAAAATCACATGGATTTCAAGATCAGAGACAACATGGGTTTACTTCAGGGAGATCATGCCAAACTAATCTTATTGATTTTTTTGATTGGGTAACTAAAATTATAGATCAGGGTGGTGCAGTAGACATTGCTTACCTAGATTCCAGTAAGGCTTTTGACACTATTGCACATAGAAGGCTTATCAATAAACTGTAAAGAACAGCTAGTACCCTAAAAGGTAAATCAGCCGAATGTGTGTCCGGGGCAACCTAACTTGGCCTCTGAGGAAGGCGCTTTGAATAGCGCCGAAACGCGCGTTAGGCAAATAGAGGGAAGGCAGATAGAGGGAACACTTAGACCTCTTGTTCCAGCAATTATTTAGATATTTAGAAAGTTACTTCTTTTTCATTCTGGGGGTTGGTTTGCGTAATAGTGGGTGGTGCTATCACCATTTATTTATATATGCAGTTTCCATTTAGACTGTGGCAAAGGCAGATAGAGGGAATATTTCAATATTTTGTTCCAGCCACTAGTTAGATATTCAAATAGCAAATGTTCATTTGTATGCTGTCATTTCTGGTCACTGAAGTCCCTGAGGAAGTCCTACATACGGACGAAACGCGTAGGACCCCTGGTGGTGACACACACACCTTTTAACTGTTCCATGAGAGTTTAAAAGTGGTGGAAGAATCATTCCCGTTGTCCCAGGGACACTGCCAGACCAGTTGAAACTGGCTGCTCTGGTTAGAGCAGGACCAACTGTCCGTACTCCCTGTAGCTTGGGCGCAGAGGCCACGGTCCCATCTGTGCTGGTGGGGGGCTTAGTGTCTCCCCTTGGTGGGCTACGCTGCTGCTGGGGAGAGGGGGTAACAAGCTCCTCTCCCTTACACACTTTCAGCCGCTGGGGAGGAAGGACGGCACCTTCGGCTCCCTGTGATACATACTGCCGCTGGTGAGGAAGGACAGCACCTTCAGCTCCCTGTGATACATACCGCCGCTGGGGATCTGGGCCGACCGCCCAGAATCCCTGTAGGGCCGGTAGAGAGACCGCCGTCCCATCTCCACCTGCCATCTGTGGGTCTTCCCAGGACCAGTCTGTGAGGTCTCTCAACATTTGCGAGTAAGGACCACCTGCTTCCGCACCTCGCAACTCCGGCTGCTGCTGGGGATCTGGGCCGGCTGCCCAGCATCCCGGTGGGCCCGATGGAGTGACCTTGGTCCCATCTTTACCTGCCTGTTGTGGTTCTTCACAGGAACAGTCTATGAGGACCCCTACTTCGGGTTCCTCCGGCCGCCTCAGGGAAAGACGGCTAACCTCCTTGGTTGCAGTCTCTACTCGGCTGCTGTGTCACTCCTTCCGCTGAGCATACTCTCTCTCTTTCGCCAGCCGGAATTCTCGGTCCAGTCTTGTATTTCGCTCGGCCGTGACCTGGTTCCAGATCACCTGGCGTGCCTCCATGGGTAAATCATCCCCATACTGGGCCACTTGCTGCCTCACCTCGGCCATCCAATCATCGCCAGACAGATACTTGCCTGCTCCAAGTCGCTGGAAACCTCTGCTCCCAGGGGCGCTGCACATGTGTTAGCGTTGCTCTGAATTTGTAACTCCACGAACGGTGTCTCTGAACTGCTTTACCTCGCACTAGGACGCCATCCCACCGCTTGCTACCAATGTTTAACGGATCACCTGGCACCCCGACTGGGTACCTCCTTTAAAGGATGCTCCTAGTGTTTTCTAAGGACTCCAAGCACTCTGGCAGACACCACAATCACCGAACCGGAGAAGCATATGAGTACTTTTAAGCATATGAATGTTGTATACAGCCGAATTGGAAAAACCATGAGAATAGGTTTACACTCCTAGCAGTCAATAAATCCTCCCCCAATAATGAGACGACACTTCACTTTGAGGGTTAAGCAGGAACTGACTGTACTGGCACATACAGCCTCTTTTATTCCCAATCCACAAACTTAGTACTGCCCACAGGGTTTTACAGAACAACCAATCAATCTGTACAATACACACAGACACTCCCACACAAAATCCTCCCCTTTGCCTGTGATATGATTACTGAACACAATGGTTAATCTAATTATCACAGGCAGAGAAATACAGTATCATAAAACACATCACAGGGACCCCAACACATGCAATAACCGCATAAAAGGTTTAATGCAGATTCCACAGAACATATGCAGGCTAAATGAAAAACAATTACTGTATAATGTGTCCCCTGTTGTATAGTCCAAAACCACTGCATGATGTCTCTGTGCACCAAATACTGGCGAGATGGCACCGTGTTGAAAAGTCCAAACAGTATCTGTGAGTTAAAATGCCCGCCATCCATTGTTCTTACCATGTGCTTCATCCATTGTTCTCACCATGTGCCTCTAATACAGGAAATGGTGGCCACCCAGTAACTCCACAGTATGTCCCCAGATGGTTCTTAAAGGGCCAGCAGCAGCACAACACAAATCCATTATGCCCAAATCATGTCTTTAAAGGGCAATACATCCCAGGGGCCATAGTCACATGGCAGGAGGCTGGCAATCAGTCTTCTCCAATGCCCAGTGGCGAGGTCGGTTTCGCCACAGAGGTTAACAGAGTGAAGGAGTTTAAGCATGCGTGGGATAGGCATAAGGCTATCCTAACTATAAGATAAGGCCAGGGACTAATGAAAGTATTTAGAAAATTGGGCAGACTAGATGGGCCGAATGGTTCTTATCTACCATCACATTGTTTCTATGTTTGTATGTTTAGTGAAGGATTACAGGAATAGCAGAGAGCATTGCTGGTTAGCGGTGTAGTGAAGCAGTAGAGGAATAGCAGAGAGCATTGCTGGTTAACGGTGTAGTGAAGCAGTAGAGGAATAGCAGAGAGCATTGCTGGTTAACGGTGTAGTGAAGCAGTAGAGTAATAGCAGAGAGCATTGCTGGTTAGCGGTGTAGTGAAGCAGTAGAGGAATAGCAGAGAGCATTGCTGGTTAGCGGTGTAGTGAAGCAGTAGAGGAATAGCAGAGAGCATTGCTGGTTAGCGGTGTAGTGAAGCAGTAGAGGAATAGCAGAGAGCATTGCTGGTTAGCGGTGTAGTGAAGCAGTAGAGGAATAGCAGAGAGCATTGCTGGTTAGCGGTGTAGTGAAGCAGTAGAGGAATAGCAGACAGCATTGCTGATTAGCGGTGTAGTGAAGCAGTACAGGAATAGCAGAGAGCATTGCCGGTTAGCGGTGTAATGAAGCAGTAGAGGAATAGCAGAGAGCATTGCCGGTTAGCGGTGTAGTGAAGCAGTAGAGGAATAGCAGAGAGCATTGCCGGTTAGCGGCGTAGTGAAGCAGTAGAGGAATAGCAGAG